CCAATCTTTCCCCTTGTCCTGTTTTTAAATTACTCTCTACTTCTGCAAGGTTGATTAAATGTTGGTCAGATGTCTCATCACATTTGACAGAGCAGTTACTATCTCAGGATTTGGCTGTGAGTAGGGAAATTAATTGATTTATATCTTTTAGAGCGGTCTCCTACTGAAGACTTCCCTTATCGGCTCTTATCAGCAGTAGGAGCTGTCATTTCTTTGAATCTTTTCAATAAAGCTCTGATGTGATACTTCATTTTAGAGTCTAAATATAAGATGCAATTACTCAACTGCCGTAGCATCCACTGCAAATAATGCGGGCTTTTTTTCCAGATAATAAAACCTTAAAAGAGCCCTGTATGAGCAGATAAAGCATATCGCTGAAAAAGAGAATGCTTTGTAAAAAAACGTTAACAGATAACTAGAGACTTAGAAAAGATGCTGTAGTGTAACTTTGTGATTTCATAATAAACACCATGTAGTGAACTGCAGACCACCTACTGCAGTCAAAATGAGCAATGCAAAGACACGGACTAAACTTAGGGTTGCAGTGTATAATGGTACTACGGTTGTATTGCGACTGTTCAAGCCTCAAAATACCACAGGTGCCACAGTATTTTCCGAACAATAGTACCATATTCCATGGTCGGATATTCTCACATGCAGTAGATATACTTGACTCAGGTCTGGAAAGCATTAAATGGGCAAAAAAATAAAATAAAATGTCTGCTGATGTGTCCGCATGTAAACAAATAATTTAACACACAGCCAGTGTGGAATATAACGGTGAAAGCTGATCCGGTGATCCACAGCGCAAAGTTGATGTATTTCCTCAGCGACAAGCATGGATCAGCTCCAGGCATGACGAAGCAGATATCTTCCTCTTTTGGAAGGCCAAACAAAGTAGTTTCGCTTTCACAATGAAACACACAGCGCCTTCACGACATGGCGGTGGCAACAACAATACTACAGCGAGAATAAAAGTTACGCCTTCTTTCTTTGCGTGAACATTTGGGCGGCGTTATGCAAATCTTCCCACATCGTGACGTAGATATGTGGGGGCGTGTTAGAACGAGCCGTTTTAGGTAGGCGTGGTTGACTCTTAACTTTTATAAAGAATATCTCTTTGGATTTGAGACTTTAGTCTTTGCAACTTTACAGATCTTCTTTATGCACCAAGAGCTTGTAACACTCCAAAGAGAAAGGAAAAATTTAAATCGCATCATATGACCCCTTTAAAGCGAACTGCACAAGCATCTCCCTTTATGAGAGTTTGGGCCACCTTCACAAAGCAGAACAGCCAGTCCTTAATATGGTTATGTTTACACAGAGTTCGGTTACTTATGAGAGTGACAACTGCATTCTGTAACCGAACACACACTGTAAATTTTCAGCACTCCCTAACCGCATTTTCAGCTAACCCCTGCTGTGTAAACAGAATTGGGCTGGACCATTACTTCTATCTAGCATGTGTTTCGGGTTTTTATGTGTGGTTTAGTACCTTACAGGGACAGGGATATATATCATCCAATCAGTCTTCCACCGGAGCTGCTCCCGTCAGTTTTGTAGTTTTGCTCTCGAATTAAATGCTATGCTTCACTCTAATGAAAGTTGTTGTCATTTAATAAAGATCTGATGAATTAAATATATATATATATATATATAATTTTTTTTTTCTTACCAAGATGTGACACAGAAAATACCTTGTAACTCTAAGTTTAACTGCAGTGTGGCGCTGTTGATGAATTAAGCAAATATTGCCATCCTGATTTCTGGCAGTAATAAGGAAGTGAATATTGCTGAGGGGTACAACATTCATTCAGTATACTGCTGTGGCACTCAACACTGCAGGCAAGTAGATTACAATTAGTTGGGTGTAATGGCCCATAAGCCCCACTCTAAAGGCTGCTGGGAAACCTGCGGGATATACACGGATGGCATGATCTGAACGACAATGTGTGGGGGTGTCGATGAAATAGTGTTGCATACTTTAAAATTTAAATGCTCACACAATAAGTTGAGGGTCTGCAAGACAAAATAGATTTCTGAGTATTTGTAATTCATTAGATTGTGGCATTGAATGTCATTTTCCTCCAACTGTTGCAAACTTGCTGACTGAGTTAAATCACATGCTGACAAACTAACAAACTAAAATTTGCAGTTGATGGTAATTCATTGTGCAACTGAATGCCAGGGGTGGATGATTCAAAAGTAAAATACTGCAAAAAATAAACAGTAAAAATATTTTAAAATAGTCAAGTTATGCATTACACACCATTTTGCACTAAATGTGATGGATGATGAAATAAGAATAATATTTTTAAGCACCAGTATAATAATTGACAGTAAAATTTGCCTATAGTTATAAATATTTTCTCAATTTCCATGCAGAAATTTCCATTAACATTTTTAATGGTGACATTAATAAAACAATGAATCAGAGTTTTTAATAGGTATATAGAAACTGACAGCTTCATTGATTCATTCAAATAAATCCATCTTTACAACTCTAAAAGAATTTGTGCTACTAAAATTAATTTTAATGAATTAAGCAATAATCGACTAGAGGTGTTTTGACCAAGTATAAAAACAGCAATATGATAAACAATACCAATGTTCAGTAAATTAATGTATTAATTGCAATAATTGTAATCTACAACCTATAACCTATTTCATCTCTAGTCATTGCTACTGTAATGTCAATAATCCAGATACAGTATGGCTGTTGCCTTAGAAAGCGTTTCCAATCCTAATTTAGAGTGGACATCAGAAACAAAGTTTCTGAAACATTTTCAGGCATACTGGATAAAGAACCCCCACCCCCCTGTACACATTTGGCCACTAGAGGAAACATCTATACAAAATACCATTAGCCTGATGGATTGGATGGTAATAGGGTTAGAGGTACACTCAAAATGCATAAGAGGGAAAGGTTGCACATCCACTGAAAATTATACATGGTAATGACTTTACTGAACTTCAGCTAATACACATAAAACCAAAGCAACAGAAAGAAACCATATGCCCAACTTTCACACATTCCAATAACCAATTACGCTGTGGACTAAACTACAGCAAACAGTTATCAACATCAATCAAAAGCAAGTTTTGCATTAACCCTGTAAAGCCTGAAATAATAGTCAGATTTGTTTTAATTATATATATATATGTAAACGTTCCTCAAAGGCCTGATATAGCAAATTTGTACACACATCAGAACAAATTACACACAATGAAGGGCAACGTATTTTAAACCGTTTAACCTCAAAGCCCTTTTACTTGATAAAAAAAAAAAAACTATCATTCAGATGAAAGTCATGCAGTAGATCATGTACAGGTTTTTCAACAAATATTTGATCATGTTGATAATTTAGAGGTCTTAGAAAATCTGTGTATCAAATATGATACTGTAGGATTTACAGGGTCAACAATAGAACCTATCAAAGAACCAGCAGTGTGCTGGTTGTTAGTGGTGGTGAGAGTTTGTGAGACATAATTGCGGACAAAACTAAGAGTGGAGCAGCGCATAATACCTCACATTGGGAGAAACATTTTTGTCGCACAGCACGTACAAAGCACACATTGTCATCACATCTGCATTCCACAGCAGTGTCTCTGTGATGAGCATATGGTCAAAAAAGACTGTGTTTCAGACACAGTGCTGACACCAAAAAATAGATGATGGTAAATGTGTGAGATGTTGTTTGAGCAGCCTTCCAGAGCTGCCATAGTTCATGTTCAAGATCAGGTTAAAAGAGAAAGGAAAGAGAAAGGTCTCTTTATAAATTAGATAGGTCGACCAGAATAGTGACAAAACTGATCATTCATAAACATAAGGACTTGGAGGTGAAAGCTCTGGATCAGAAAATACACAATACATACTCACATTTCCTGTTAAAATAACACAAATAGCTGTAGGTTTCAAAGACAAAAAGAATTACATTCACTTGAGTCTGGGGTGCCTCTTTTAATCCCGAAGGTAATCTAAAACGCTCATTGATGAGTTTGCAGGGTGTGTAAATCTAGTTTCCCTGAGCCTTACAATCAATCTAGGGAGGACTAGCAAACAAAATAAAACACCGCAAGACAAAGACAGTATTTTACCAAACCAGAGAGAGCAGCTCCTCAGTGTTTAAATGCACCACTACACTTAGACTTCAATCCAAACTAATCTGCCCGAAAAAAAAAAAATCATGATTCATGTGCAATCTAGTCGCAGCCCCAGATGGCACCCTCACAGACCAGTCTGTTCAATGACTGTCTCATGCATATTGCACACAAAACTGGAGAGTGCTAGCAGAAAATCGACAGTTCCAATAGGATTGGTTGGCTACACACAGGTTGCAGGACTCAATGTGCATCACTCTGCCTGGAAACAAACTGTGCTGATACAATGAGTGCTTCTCTAGTTGCTGGATTTGCCTATAAATTTGCCAGATTACTGTCTTCAAATCTTTGACTTTTGCTTGAGGCACTGAGTTGCCAATAAACTAGATATCAATGAGCAGAACTGCACATACTGTTTTGTTTTCTGAGTTCTGAATGTGAAATAATCATTACCTATCACATTTGGGCGCACATAAATTCTAACTACAAGGTCTGCACATATTTCTGCTTTTATCTGTGTTTTCTGTACAGATAGTCACATATCTAAAATTTCCCCTCCTCTAAACAGCCCATAAAAAACAAAACAAGCTTTGGATGGTCACTTTTATGGTCAAACTTCCTTCTCCTCTCTAAGTGAACAGTTCTTGCCCAAAAAATACTGTGATGACCAGATTTTATGCTGATAGTCAAAAGTCTGGCTATTCACGTCTGTGTGCCATCCTGTTGGCAAAAATGCAGATGGCTAGACCAGAACTACGCAAATTCACCTGGGGCAAAAATCAAGAATGGTACAAAACATTAAAATCACTGATAAACTGATAAACACATAATAAGCAATGACGTTCAACACACAATAATCATTATAGGCATGAATGGTAAAAAAAAACAGTGCTTCTTACCTTCATAGATTGCTTTAAATCCTTGGGCACTCACTGCAAAATCCGTAGTAAACCACAGCGCCAAAATCGACCCAGAACTCACGATGGGTGATGGCAACATGAACCCAGACAACCTGAAATGAAATGTAAAAAAATTAATGTAAGTGTTCATCATTATAGTATTAGAATTTGATCCACAATATACATTATTTCACATAAAAAGAAACAGGTAATTGTTTCATTCATTCCTGTACTTTTCTAAAGTAGTTCACACTTTCTTTGTCATGTTTTTAATGAGCAGGACCAAATCGTGAGCGCACTTAGCTGCCCTAAGACTCCACTTTACTGCCTCACCTTTGACACCACTCTAGTGAATTAGATGACAATAACAAGCTGAAGATAAAACTGGGGTCCTCCGTAACAAAGACTAGACTCTGTGGTTCTCAAGTGAAAGATAAGACATGTTTTGATTGTCATTTTTTTAATGAAAGCGAGGAGAAATAAACTGGTCCCATTCCTCAGAGATCTCAGCTAAGTAGCAGCAGTTATCTGACTCTAACACATCAGCTAAAGTTCATGGAATTCTCTAAAGATGATTCATGTTATCTCAGACCAGCACAAAACCAGAACAGAGCACAGACTTCTTAATTATTGTTTCAGCAATCATCTCATTTCCTAACTAGTAGTCATTTGCAAACATCAAGATTATCATTCACTAGAAATGTTTATTGCTTAATGTCCTTTATTGATCTTCTATAGCAGAAACACAATGGTCATCTCAGATGTTTTAAGTTAACCAAATGTTTCTTGTAAAATTAAAAAATAGACACTTATGAGCACCATAAGTGCCATGGTGTAGGCATAAATGAATGTGAATAAATTTACTCCAGCAATCATCTCATTTCCTAACTAGTAGTCATTTGCAAACATCAAGATTATCATTCACTAGAAATGTTTATTGCTTAATGTCCTTTATTGATCTTCTATAGCAGAAACACAATGGTCATCTCAGATGTTTTAAGTTAACCAAATGTTTCTTGTAAAATTAAAAAACAGACACTTATGAGCACCATAAGTGCCATGGTGCAGGCATAAATGAATGTGAATAAATTTACATAGATTGCTTTTGGAAGAGTTCATATTGAAAGCTAACTAACTTTAGGATTGTGGGACAAATCTGATCAACATGTTCAAGAGATCATCAGAATTATACTGAACAACATATCCTAGGGCATTTCAGGGCCCAGTTTTATGGCAGTGTCCCTCTCTTACTGCCACAGTGAAGAGACACCTCTTAAGCCCGGGACACAAGAAGCCAAGATGTTCCGTTTAGGGAACAAGTCAGTGGTTACATATGTAACCATAGCTCTCAGAGGGAACGAGATGCTGCATTAAAATGCGTTGGGAACGCCTCTGCATGACCGCGTTCTGAAGCACATGTGGAATCAGTCCAATAGAGAAGCGAGACATCACAAGCGGGGTGACGTGAGTAACCAGGAAGCATAAAGGCGCACCCAACAAAGCGCATGTTAGCTTCTGATGAAGTGAGCACCTGCAAGGATTGAGGGAGTATAGCAAAGAGACGCGGCGTCTCGTTCCCTCGGGGAACAATAGTTACATACATAACCTAGGGACGTTCCCTTTCAGCAACTCGAGCTGTGTTGAAACACTTTGGGAATGAGAATACCCACTGCACCATACTAACAAGTCCCTGCCTGGTGTGTATCTTCCGAGCACATCAAGAGGAGAGAACTTGGGACCCTGGGGTAGATGCCAGGTCCAGGTTGTAGAAGCGGACAAATGTGTGTGGAGAGGACCAACCCGCCGCAGCACAAATGTCCTGCAGGGCCACGTTCAATGAGAAGGCCTTAGAGGCCGCCATGCTCCGGGTCGAGTGCGCTCTCACCCCCACAGGGACAACACAGATTAAGCTTTTCCTGGCCAGCTTCTTGGAAGGGAGGAGGACAGAAGGCTGGAAGTACTATGGGCTCTGGCGTAGAAGTGGGCACCTTAGGGACATACCCGGGCCTTGGGTAAAAGAACGCCCTAACCATGGGCAAACTCCAGGCACGAAACTTAAAGTGCCTGAAGATCCCCTATCCTCTTAAGGGAGGACATAGCGAGGAGGAAGACTGTCTTAAGAGAGGAACTTGTCTGGAACCTCCTCAATGGGTTCGAATGGGGGCACTGCACAAGCCCTCCAGAACCACCCCCAGGTCCCATGAAGGTACCTTATTGCACTGTACTGGCCTCACCCTCAGGGTGCCACGGAGGAAACGAGTGACAAGTGGGTGTCTTCCCAATGACTGACCACCCAGAAGGGTGTGGTAAGCAGCTATGGCCACCACGTATACCTTCAGAGTGGAGGGAGATAATCCTGTGGTGAAACACTCCTGCAGAAACTCCAGAACTGTACCAACTGGGCAGTTGACTGGGTCTTGCAGTCGCTGTCCGCACCAAGAAGTGAAAAGTTTCCACTTCAAGGCATAATGTTTCCTCATGGCGGGAGCTCTGGACTGGAGTATGTTCTCAACAATCTTGGTTGAGAGCAGTGTTGGGCAAGTTACTCTGAAAATTTAATCAAATTACTGATTACTGCGTACTCCTTTTAAAAGTAATCACGTTACTGTTCTGATTACTTTATTTCAAAAGTAATTAGTAATTAGTTACATTACTAGTTACGTTACTTTTTTCTCCATTAAATTTATGAAATCCCAGCATACGATAAATATTTGTTATTAAAGCATCGACGTTCACAGAACACTGTTATTTTTAACTAAAGTAAGCGGCTGATGCGTGCATGGTTTGACATGGCAGAATGCCAGCAAAGAGCTGCATTTATAATCTCTAAAAGACATCTCAGTTCATCGCAATCTCACAAATCTCTGTTATAACACAATTCCTAATATGCATAATGAATCTTTCATAATGTCTACAATTCGTGTGCTACAATGAGAGGATTCATGAGCACGCAAATTTCAGCACTGCATTGCTCAACGCTGCAAACACGTGTTATAGCCTAAACACAAGAAACGCTTGCACCTGTTAATCGTTTATATTTTATATTAGATCATGTTGCTTTTGTGAAAAGCAATTTAGATGAATAACTATTTATTTGTTTTAGATATTTTATGTTTAGATATTTCTTTTTTGCGGGAGTCCCGTGAATCATTTTATTCTCCCGCATCCCGCACACACACGAGTGTCTACCCACCCGCACCAGCACTCGCCCATCTTGTCCCGTGCCGCACTCTGTTGTGTCGGGTCTCGCGTCGGGTCTGGCACTTGACTCGACAGTGCGTGTGCTACATCCTTTTTACAATCTGACAGTAACGTATAGAGACCTCGGCTTGTAACTATACTCTAATTACTATTTTGAAAATTATAACGCGTTAAATTACTCCGTTACTAAAAAAGTAATCAAATTACAGTAACGCGTTACTAAGTAATGCGTTACTGCCCAACACTGTAAATATCTACCTTGCTGTTTATTGCTGCTGTACATCTGATCTTAGAATCAGTGTTAGCAACTTTTTTATATCTTATGTCGTCTGTTAATTTTTCAGTCAAAGCCAGATTATCATTGATTCAGTGATGTCATCATCCAGTTCAACCGTCTTCAAATAGTATCTGTGCAATCAAGTCGACAATATTGCCAGAAATTAAGTGTCCCCAACTA